CACGGCGAGGGGTGCGCGCACCGTGGGGGCCTCCGCCTCCATCACCGCCTCCCGCTCCCTGCAGATCCAGGCTCTGGAGTTGGACCCCAACCTGTACCGCGTGGGCCAGAGCAAGATCTTCTTCCGGGCGGGGGTCCTGGCCCAGCTGGAGGAAGAGCGGGACCTGAAGGTCACGGACATTATCGTGTCCTTCCAAGCAGCTGCCCGGGGATACCTAGCACGCAGGTGGGGGTGTGCTGTCCTCCGGGGTCCTGTGCGCCGAAGCCGGGTGAGGGTTTTGGTGGCCGATGGCCTAGGTCTCCAGTGGGCAGAAGGGCTGATGGTGCACAGGCTTTCAGCTCTACAGTCCTTGGCTCCTGGGCCAGACCCCGGGCTGAGTGTGCTGAGGTGCAGCAGAGAGGCCCAGGCCACACCGATGGCCAGGTGGACAAAAGGGAGCAGGCAAGGTGGCCAGGCAGCACAGGTGGCCTGTGCAAAGGCCCTGCGGTATGGAGCCTGGCTCAGCCGGGGCTGCAGGAAGATGGTGCAAGTCTCCTTCCCCCTTAGAAGTGGCTCAGCGAGAAAAAGGGTGGCAGGGATGCCCCGGGGACCTTGTCCAGGGTGCTGGGGAGCGATGAAGGATCGGGAGGAGGCTGGGCAAGGGCGGAGGTGGGTGAGGACAGAGCGAGCTGGAGCAGTGGGAGTATGGACGGGTGGAAGAGAGAGGCCCACCAGGAGCAGAATGGAGCCCGCAGGGGGTGAGCAGCTAACGGCTGACCAAGCCGCGGGACTGGGCCAGTGTCCTCACCGCCACTGCCATCCGCAGGGCCTTCCAGAGGCGCCAGCAGCAGCAGAGCGCGCTGAGGGTGATGCAGAGGAACTGCGCGGCCTACCTCAAGCTGCGGCACTGGCAGTGGTGGCGGCTCTTCACCAAGGTGAGGCCATCCGGCTCGTGAAGGGCGGGGAGTCCGGAGAGGACGGGCCCGAGCGTCGCCGTCCTTGCCCAGTGGACTTGGCCAGACAGAGCCCCTTCCTGCGTGCACAGGAAGACCTGCCGACCTCGAGCCCAGCGAGCTGGCCCTCCAGGGTTTTACCGGGCTCTAATCTCGTAGAGTGGGAAAGAATCAGGTAGACCTGTGTAGAACCAAGTGGATAACTGTGGAACAGAATGGTCAGAGAGCAGGACCTGTGGCGCACGCCTGTGATCCCAGCACTCCGGGAGGCTGAGGCAGGAGGATCGCAAGTTTGAGCACAGCCTGGGCAATTTAGGGACTTCAGGAGACCCTTCTTAAACCAACCTGGGTGTAGTGAGTGCAGAGGCCCCAGGGGTCAATCCCCAGTATTTTCTAAAAACTGCAGTTAGTGCTGCTTGCTAGGCGCCGGTCAGTTTGGGGGGCTTTTTGTAAGCGGTGACTTAGCCAACCCGAAACCCCAGGCCCCGCGCGTAGGGGGGGTTAAGACAGGACAGTGACCACCTGCCCGAGTAGGTTGCAGGAGTGCGGCCCGGCCGGGGGTGCTTAGCGCAGGTTGCGGGAGCCTCCTCCACCCCTCACCTCCCCCAGGTGAAGCCGCTGCTCCAGGTGACAAGGCAGGATGAGGTGCTGCAGGCGCGCGCCCAGGAGCTGCAGAAGGTGCAGGAGCTGCAGCAAC